CGCCCGCGCGCCCTGGGGCCCGGGCGGCCGGAGGCGCCTGCCCGAGCAGGTCTGAGCCCCCGGAGGAAGCGTCGCCTGCGGGGGAGGGGAGGCGGGCTCCCGTGGCTCCTCTGTGGCCAGGCTGGGCACAGAGCCAAGTGTGCGCGTGCGAGGGCTGGGGGCCGCGCGCCGGTGTGAGGCCGTGTGTCCTGCGTGCCGGGAAGACGGGACCCTCGGAGTCCGGCCGGCGGTCATGCTGTCCCCATGCTATCGGTTCCTGACGTCAGGAGAGCTGCCGGCCGCCGTGCGAGGGAGCAAGGTCTCCTCGTTTCATGTGTTTTGACTCAATCTCGTGTCTTCTGCCTGGTGGAGACGGGCTGCGGGTCCCATTGCCACCAACCCTGCTCTCGTTCAGCCTCAGATTCCCCCACTGACAGTTTCAGCCTCATCCCCCTGTCTCCCCATCTTGGCCTCGAAGGACGTGGGCCTGTCCGTGCTGTTCCTGTGCGGAGCCTGTAGACCGCTGGCACGTGCCCGGCGTCATTGCTTTCTGCGCGAGGTACACTTCGCTCCTCATCCCCTCACAGGCCAGCCCTTTGGGGTCTCGTCCACGTCTCAGCGTGGGGCACAATAGGAGACATGAGGCTGGCATCTGTCTAGCCAGTGGCGCGTCCCCGACTGTGCTTGGTGCCGCCTGCTACAGAGAAAGGTGCACAGCCCTGAGCACAGAAATGATGCCCCTGGCAGGGAAACCCTTTGCAGCCCCGTTGGCCAGAGGCCGGGAAGTTTGCAGCCCTGCCATTTCTTCAGGGGCTTCCAGTGGGCCAGGGGATGTTCCTAGGAGGGGCGCGTATCCCAGACCCTTCGTTTGTCTTCACTCTCGGCCTGGATGTGCTGCAGAGATGAGCTCCTCCAGCTAAGTTTGCCTTGTGTGATAAAGCTCTCGCTCTGCCAGTATTAAATTGTCCTTCGCTCTTCAACCGAGTGACTAATTGTCCTTGTGTAAAGCTCTCGGGGGTCGCACACGGCTGTGTTCCCTCTTCAAGTGAGCAGCTGGGGTCTCTTCAGTCGATCCCTCCAGCAGCTGATGTCCAGGTTGCTCATCGTTTTTGCTGCCCATCTCTGAGCCCCGTTAGACCAGGATGAGGTGACTAGGACTGATGGCAATTCCCAGGGGAAAGTGCCTGCTGCTCTGCTCTGCCCTACCCTGAAATACTTTGTCTCCTCCAGGCCGTTGCACCTGGTGTTGGTTCTCGGACTTTGGGAGGGTTACGGGCATGTTTCTCCTGAGCTGTCTGGGTCTGGTGGTTGAGGGATGCTGGCTAACACAGAGCCCAGGCAGGTGCATGTGGGGCTTGTTTTATTCTTTCTGGCTCCCTTGAATTGCATGGAAAAAGCTCCTTTGGCATTGGGGGAGCCAGGGTTTCACCCAGAATGTGTGCAGCCCTCTGTTCCCTGGTCGCCGGGCGTTGTCAGTTCCCTCACAAGAGCCTTTCCTTCTTCCCCAGTTTCAATTACCTGTGTCCAGTGCAACTGGTACAGCCCCCGGCTCGCTCCCTTCCCCCTGGGTCGGTACACCAGACTGCGCACCCGTTCCTAATGCCTTCCTGGCATGGTGGTGCCTGGACTCACACGCAGTGCCCCACGCACGGCTGCACTGGAGCCGCACAGATGGGTACAGTCATCTCCTGTCTGCAAGGCTCAGAAGCGCGCATGCTGCTCTGCAGCTGTATCGCGTTGCAGACGCGTCTCCTGTTCCATCCATACTGGCGCAGGCACCGCGAGGGGGCTCAGTTCGCCTGCGTGGGCCTTTCCTGCCACCAGCCGCTACACCTGCAGGAGCGATCTGAGTGCGAGGAGCAGCAGTGTATGGAGCTGGGCTGGGGCGGGAGAGGATGACAGACCAGACTGGCGTGAGCTGATCAGCATCTGAAAGCAGCTAGAACCTTTCCCTGGGCTTTTTTGCCTCAGTCACGTCTCAGGAAAAAAAGATTTTCTTGTTTAATTTGTTTGTATTTTCAGCTTTTAGTTTCCTTGGATGCAGCAGAGCCCCGGCTCCCTTGTCTTCCCTGTTCATTCCTTCGTGGTGCCCACTCCTGCCCTGGTCCTTCCCGATCATCCCCTCTCCTGGTAATGTTCCCCTTGCCCATCTACCTTGCCTGTAACGCTGCCCTGCCCATTTGGAGATGGGGGCAGTGCTGCAGTGGAGTCCCTCGTGGGGCTGCACCCTCGGCTGATAAAATGGGGTCACTGTGCTGTGATCTGTTGTTCACCCTGTTCTCCTGCATCACGACCCCTGGTTTGCTGCTTTCCTTTGCGGTTGCACAGAGGAACTGTCCATGGGGACTCTCAGGCCCCTGTTTGCTGTGCAAGGTTTCCCCTGGCTCATGTGTCGCATTCATTGGGCAGCACCAACCCGTTTGCCTGTTCACGGCCTGTTCCCCTGATGTCTTTGGGTCCCACCGATGTCCCTTACAGCCCCCTCTGGAGCTTCCAGACTTGGTGTCTGCGGCACAGCATCGCACTGTTGTGCCGTCCTCCCCTGACAGCCTAAGGCTCTGCAGCCCCTGCACCAAATTGCCTGCGAGGGGGCAGGGAGAAGTCGGGGCCAGGCCTTCTGCCCCACTTGCAGTCCCTCGTGGAGCTGCCTGTTTTCCCAGTGCAGAGCCGTACTGGGGCGTGGGGAGATTCAGCAGGGGAGGGGAGGGGGTGAGGCTCAGATTCCTGCATGCGGCAGGGACGCGGTGGGGTGGGCATGTCAGCCCCCCCTGGCAGGTCCGTGTCCACTAGCTGACATCATGTCCTGTGCTCTCTCCGCAGGTGATGCCACTCCTCAGACTCGCTGGGCACCGGGCGGAGAAAGAGAAGGGTTGACCACTGCTCTGGCCCTGAAGCCCTGAACCACAATGGCAGCTGGAGAGTCCCCCCCTGCTGAAGTAGTCGTCATCAACCTGCAGCAGGTGAGGAGGGAACCAGGCAGCCCCCCGGGTCCTGGGCCTCCCAGGTGCAAGCACCACCATCAGGTGGTGTCCGACTGGGGCTCTGTCGCTGGAGCCGGGTGCCCCCAGGGCTGCCTTTCGGCAGCTAGCCCTCGGGTTCTGTGGCGAATGCCGCTCAGGGAGACCACAAACAGACAACCAGTCACTGAGACATGTAGGATTAAGGAGCGGTCTCTCTGCAGATGCTCTTGCCTATGAGAGCCCGCGTGCCCAGGCCCCTGCCTGGGCTGCGTGTCCCAGCTGCACCGTCACTGCTCTTCCCCTCTGAACCCCCATGGGGATGGGGGTGGGGGTCGATGCGGGGCAGGGCAGCTGCGAGGGGTATCAGATGCACGTCCCTCTGGCTCTGGGAGCTGCCTCCCTGCTGGAGCTTGTCTGCAAGTGGCTCCAGGCTGCTCTCTCCCAGCCAGGGGCCAGGGCCACAGACTCGTGCTCCCTGCACTGGCTCGGATCTGTCACAGTTGGGCCTCCTCCCGTTGCCATGGAAACAGAGGAGTCCACAGCAGCTCAGCGCTGGCATTTCGGGCTTTGCTGACGGAAAATTTTCCCAGCTGCTGTTGGACGTGTGGTGGACGGGGCTGGAGCAGCATCTCTGAGCAGGGCAGCAGAGCAGAGGCACCTGCGGCTGAGGCAAAGGGCAGAGGGACAGCAGGTCCTAGCCCCTGAGGCTAGGAACAAGGCCTGGTCATGGAGGGGGGCCCAGAAAAGGCAAGGGGCACCAGCAGAGAGGGGGCAGGGTCCCTGTCTCACACTTGCAAAGGGAACTTGGGGAGGAAAATTCACTTTGGCTCCACGGGGAGGGCAGCGGCTTGGGGTGAGGGAAGGGAGCCTCTTGCCGTTGGATGGGTTTGCTGCCTGTCAGACCAGTGAGGTGGTAGGGGATGGCTTGGGCCTGGGTGCTGGGCCCTGTGCCCGGGATGGAGCTGCACCAGCGTGGGCAAGGGTCCCACGTAGCCCCAGAGTGCAGCGCGAGGTGTCCGCAGGGCGCTGGGGCCTGGGGGTGGCAGAGAGCTGCGGGGGTTGATTGTTCCCTGGTGGCTTCTGCACAGGGAGGCAATGGGGCCAAGAGAGGCTTTGCGAGCGCTGAAGACGACGAGGACTTGGATAAGACCTTGTCCATCAAGAGGTTCGGGGACCTGATAAGCAAGTCGGCAGCAAGAGACCTGGAGAAGCAGCAACGCAGCTACAATGAAAGAGATTTTGAATGTACGTAGGGTTGAACGCCTCCTTCCCTGTGCCCGGTACTGCCCCTTAACCCAAACTGTCCCACCCCCACCCCGGGCACCGTCTCTCCCTGAGTGCACTCTGCAGCCCCGTTCTCCCATTTGTCCCTTTGCTTCAACTGCTCACAAAGTGGCTGCATGAGCCCAGTCCTGGTGCTGGTAGCCCCTTGCCTGACCCTGCCTCTTCCTGTTCACAAAATGGAGCCCCGGTCCCATCCACATCGCTGTATGCCTGTGGCCTTGGCAGCCCCTCTTCCTTCTCCATCTGTGTGGCGGGAACCAGCCCAGCCCCTTCAGCAGGATTTAAGCTGTTGGTTTCAACGTGTTTCTTGTCCTTGTGGCGACACGCACATTTCCAGTGATGGCCCCAAGCCCTGCCATCTTCCTGAGCCTGCAGGCAGACAGCTCCAGTGTCTCTCCTGCCTCTGAGTCAGAACAGCAACCGGAATCGGGGTGGGTCTCGTGTGCACAGGGGGCTTCTCCAGAACCAGGTGGGAGTGAGCGAAGTTTGGTGGCTGCTCCTCACCGTCACCCGCTGTGGAGACTTTTCCACATGCAGTGAATCTTCATGCTGTCATTTAATCCCCTGCCAATGACCTGGCCGGTTGGTACAGAGGAGTTTGCAGCGTAGGATGGAGGTTCTCGCAGAGAGCAAACCTGGGACAGCTGCTGCACTGTAGCTACCGTGGGCTCTTTCCTTGTGTCGATACCTCTTCAGGCTGAAGACAGATTTAAGAGAGGCATTGAATATCGGGTGGAGGATAATGACAATGGTTGTGGGGGCTGGGGAACATGACTTGTGAGGAGAGACTGAGGGAACTGGGCTGATTTAGTCTGGAGAAGAGAAGACCGAGGAGGGATTTGATAGCAGCCTTCAACTCCCTGCAGGGGGTTGCAAAGAGGATGGAGCTGGGCTGTTCTCAGTGGGGGCAGACAACAGGACAAGGAGCAATGGGCTCAAGTTGCAGCAAGGGAAGTTGAGGTTGGATATTAGGGAAAACTTTCTCACCAGGAGGACAGTAAAGCACTGGAATGGGTTACTCGGAGAAGTTGTGCAATCTCCATCCTTGAAGGTGTTTAAGACCTGGCTAGACAAAGCCTTAGCTGGTCTGATGTAGTTGGGGCTGGTCCTGCTCTGACCAGGGGGTTGGACTCGATGTGACCTCCTGAAGTCCCTTCCAGCCCTCAGTGCCTGAGTCTGTGACTCTGAGCTGCTGCTGAGCAGAGCCTTTGAGGCGGAGGGGGCAGGAGAGGGTGGTCTGGGGGGTGGGGAGGAGCTGCTCACAGGGAGATGGAGCAGGTGGAGGGGCTGAGCTGAGAGGGGAGTTGGGTCCCAGCGGCTCTGAGATGGGTGTCCCTGTGGGGGTGCTGTGTCCACCGTCAGTGGAGCGCAAAGGCCAGGAACAGGGTGCCCACGAGGCTTGACGCCCACCTGCTACCAGCCTGGGTCTGGGCTGAGGACTGCAGACTCCTGATTCTGGCCAGTGGCTCAGAGGCTGCACCTGCTCTGTCTAGCCCACGCCGTTTGTCTCAGGGGACGTTGGTTGTTGTCTTGTGTTGTGTCAGGGTTGACAGTAGCTTTGATAAGAGGGTAGACTGTGGTTTGGACAGGGATGATCCTGCCTCTTGCAGGGGTTTGACAAGATGATCTATGTGGGTCCCTTCCAGCTCCACTTCTGGAATTTCTGTGATTTCTCTGTGAACCAACAAGGGAAAAACCCAGCCTCGCAGCCCTGTTAGCACCAGGGGTTGGAGAACAGGCCCTGGGGACTTGTGC